GGCACCATCTAGTTCTTCTGGTCTCATAGTCATATAGGCTGCAGATCAGATGGTGTACCAGTCACTAGGACTAATTGTTTCCATGAATTTTGGTTTTCTTCGTTCTCCTTTGCTCTGGATGAGGAGAGACTCATCGTTGCATTTGGATGGCAGCTTGCTAGCTTTTAAGATCCCAGTTGCTACTCATCAAAGTAGGAAGTGGAACAATGTTTTGTATAGTATGTTATGTCAATTGAGCTTGATGTCCCCTGTGACTATGGTCCCAAGCCCGCAGGTTCAAATACTCGGTCCCTCTGGGTAGCTGGCTGTGACCAAGCCGTGACCACAATTGCCCCTTGTCAGCTCTATTATACATCTAGGAATTCTGATCATTCACATAAACTTATAGGATCATTGTCTGCCAACCCTACATATGTTCTTGGATACACTCCCCATTTCATAGACATACCTAATCGTTCAGTCTCTCCACCCATCTATCCACCCATATACCCATGTTTGCCTTCATTGACAACGCAGTACTATATGTGCAAAAGGGTTCATATTTGTTGTCTGTACCTCCCATGTACCTCTCTATGTCTTTCTTATCCTCAATGCTGCCATATTGGTCACTCACATTTGGTACATTGCCCTTCTCTTCACCCAAATCAACACTTATCTTCATCTATCTAACAGCATTCCCTTTCCTCCCCTCCCACACCTGGTAATCAACAAAGAAAATTTCCTTCTATAGATAAACCTTTCCTTACATTTTACAATAACGGACTAATATAATATTTGTCCTTTTGTGACTGACTTATTTCACTCAGCATAATGTCCTCCAAGTTCATCCACATTATGCAATGTTTTGCATATTCTACATTATTCTTTAGCATTGCATAGTACTCCATTGTGTGTATGTACCATAGTTTGGTTATCCATTCCTCAGTTGATGGACACCTAGGTTGTAAATAGTGCTGCAATGAACATGGTTGTGCATATATCTGTTCTTGTCATGGCTTTCACTTCTTTAGGGTATGTACCTAGTAATGGAATAGCGGGGTCAAATGGTATTTCTAGTTCCAAATTTTGATGGAATCGCCATACTGCTTTCCGCAATAGTTGTACCATTTTACAGTCCCACCAGCAGTGTATGAGAGTCCCAATCTCTC